GGCCGATTAAGTAATTGGCGTTGGTGAAAATGGCCCAAATGGTGATTCTCTACGAGAAGCACCATTTGGGCCAGTTTCACCAACGCTTAGCGCTTTTTTTACCTTTTTTTTAAAAAGGTAAGTTTGTATATAATTTTAAAATTCCATAGACAAAAACTTTTATACACATGATACATATCATTAGAGTTAAGTAAATAATAAAAAAAAGATTGATTTTACTTTTTAATTTGGTAGAATTTAATTAATTTGATAATCAATTATACGAATATGATACATATCATTAGAGTTAAATAAACTATTTTTTCTTTGGGAGGAATAAAATGGTAAAATTTAATTTGTTCGAAATACATTGAATTTAACTTGGCGCCAATTATTGATACCAAATCTTTTATACAAATGATACATATCATTAGTTCTACTAAACAGCAAACGTGATTAGTTATCAGACTCACGGCCGATTAAGTAATTGGCGTTGATGAAAATGGCCCAAATGGTGATTCTTTACGAGAAGCACCATTTGGGTCAGTTTCACCAACGCTTAGCGCTTTTTTTACCTTTTTTTTAAAAAGGTAAGTTTGTATATAATTTTAAAATTCCATAGAGAATATCTTTTATATACACATGATACATATCATTAGAGTTAATTTACATTACCGTATATATAAACTCGGTCCATGAGGTAATTTTTTTGCCAGATTGCCAGATTCGTTCATTTTCCGTACAAAAACGTGTCGAGTATAAAATTTAACCTAGACACCCATTTCCTCGACGGCGAACACCTAGACACCCACTTCCTCGGCGGCGAACACCTAGACACCCATTTCCTCGACGGCGAACACCTAGACGCCCACTTCCTCGACGGCGAACCCCTAGACACCCACTTCCTCGGCGGCGAACACCTAGACACCCATTTCCTCGACGGCGAACACCTAGACGCCCACTTCCTCGACGGCGAACCCCTAGACACCCACTTCCTCGGCGGCGAACACCTAGACACCCATTTCCTCGACGGCGAACACCTAGACGCCCACTTCCTCGACGGCGAACCCCTAGACACCCACTTCCTCGGCGGCGAACACCTAGACACCCATTTCCTCGACGGCGAACACCTAGACGCCCACTTCCTCGACGGCGAACCCCTAGACACCCACTTCCTCGGCGGCGAACACCTAGACACCCATTTCCTCGACGGCGAACACCTAGACGCCCACTTCCTCGACGGCGAACCCCTAGACACCCACTTCCTCGGCGGCGAACACCTAGACACCCACTTCCTCGGCGGCGAACACCTAGACACCCACTTCCTCGACGCGAACACCTAGACACCTACTTCCTCGACAGCGAACATCTAGACAC